TTCAGGCTTTACAGAGATACTCACACTCACTGATGATGTCTCATTTAGCTGTATTTGATTAGCCGCACATGGCTGCTGCTAACCCTTTTAAGTCCTCTGGATGCAGCAATGGTGACATTTGTCAGTCACACAGTGACTGACAGAGTGATGAGTCACATGCCTTAATTCTCTTTATTTTCATGGTCATGTGACAAAATCCTTTTTGCATAAATACTAATGTACCTTACAGAACCTTGTGAGATTTCAAATATCAAATACTCCTGAAATTGAACAGAGCTGAAATTACATCACATTGTAGATGTTCACATCATAATGACGTCATATAATATTTAACATTTGAATGATATCTAAAATTATCCTGGACTTACAGTTCATTTTTTCTATTTGAAATCAAGCTCAAGGTCTATGATATTGCAAGAGAACAGAAGAACAGAAAAGCACAAAAAAAAATCCCAACAAAAGTAAGACACAAAACAGACATGAATGCAAGCAGAGATTTGCTGACTGTCAGGATTGTGGTTCGTCTCAGTTTGCCTTAAGGAGGCTCACCTGTGCAGAAAAGACAGGTGTGAGCATCTTAGCTGCCAGGAGTCACCTCACAAATCCTCCCAACACTGATAGGGGCGCGATAGCCTCCGCATCTCCAAGGGAAGAAAACATTTGAGCAACATGCGTGCATCCTGACCCTAACTAATGCACGCCCTCATGGATAACACATTCCATTTAGCTAAACAGCCGTGAGAGCTGTGGGTGTCATCAGCAAAGTATCTGTGCCACTAGCGAGGCTCACAACCTATTTTACACAAACACACACACATCCAGTACCCCTACACCTCAAGCAGACCCTCCCAAGAGGCACTGAGGTGCATCGCTGAAATTCAAACCCTGCATAGACAGGACCTTTCACTGCTAAGAAGCTGAGCACCTCATCCTGAAAGATGTCATTTCTAGATATCCAGTGCTACCTTTTTAATAGACGTTGTATTCCGCATCTTAATGGCTACTAGGAAAAGCTATTAAGTACAGCGCAAATTAAAACGTCAGTATTAATGTTTATAGAAATAATTTAAAACAGACTATTTAAGAACTCCCATTCAATGTTTTTCATGTGCACAGATATATACGTTTTGCCAGTTTCAATTTCCTCTCTTTTAGTGAAGTTGCTCATTAGTGTCAGTATGACGGTTTATATCCGTATTCGTTCTAGGGAAAGTCTGTTTCCTGTGCAGGTCATTTCCATAGCTCGAGCCCTGTGTATGTTCGGAACAGTTCACGGTACCCTTAGGTATCAAAAGAAAATGTAGGACTGGATGAAAAAGCCCTCATAATAGATCCTCATTAGTGTTTTACTTAGAGTCACTCGGAAACATTAGTGCTTTATGATCCTTGTAAGAGTAGAAGAGGAAATGTGTCACATCCACCGTGTGCGCCATCTTGGCAGTGTTTGTGTGTGTACCCACTTGGCAGTTAAGAGTCATTAAAAAAGGGCGTGAGGAAGCCATCAAGTGGTTTTTCTACATTAATGAAGAACAGCACAGACAACCGCAAGAGCCCACTAAAACACACAAACAATAAAAACACAAAATGAAGCACATATGCACACATACAAATAATGATTGTTTTTGGTGTTTTGCTCCTTGTTTCTCTTGGATACAAACATTTTCTGGTCGTATCAAGAGTGATGACCCCATGAACACATTTAAGTGCACACACACACACACACACACACACACACACACACACACACACACACTCAGACTCAAAAACAGCAATGTGTGTGTGAAGCTTTGAGGACTCATGCTTGAGAAAACAACAAGATGTGCGTACCACAAAGTGGGATTTTTGTTGGTTTGTTTAAAGCAAAGCCAGAGCAGTTGTAACATAACCTCTGTTACACTTTGGTACGGCCTTGCTTCGTCAAAGCTAAATACCCAAACATGTTCACTAAAAACGGGCTGTGGATAGGTGAAGGAAGGGTGAGGAAGTTGTGTGACAAGAAGTTCACTCACCCCCTTTACTTCCTGGGCCAACAACCCTTACCACTTCCAGGCTAGTGTCTTAAAGAGGATGTTTTGTGTTCAGGGCTGTTCTGCACTTTCTCAACCGCAGCTATATCACTTCAAAAGCTTAGCCACTGAACTGTTTGTTTATAAGCCGCACAGCGCTGATTGTATGGCAAACTGTTTGGATGCTGGAATATAGTAGAGCACATGCAGGATCTTTGGCCATCACTTTGGGGGAGACTGAAAGCGATTTCTCTGCTCTAGACTGTCATCTAGTGGCACTAGATTTTATAAGCCTAAAAATAAATCCTGCAAACCTGCATTATCACTCATAAAAGTACCTGTAACAACGTCAAACACAGGATCTCCCCCTTTGCTCTCTTCACTGGCTTCTCCCTGTCCGTGTCTCATTTTCTTCTAGTATTTTATTCCGAACATGGTTTGAGTTTCACACAGCTGTGAACTCCTGGTGATTTGTAGCACTATAATGGCTCTTCTCTGCCGCGCTTCTCCTCCCAGATATTAAGATAACAGTTCTCACCTTACCTTGATCACGAGCTGCAGAGGCTGAGCAGGGCTTCGGCGGGTGAATAAGGGCATTGAGTTGACCTGAGGGCGGGAAGGCGAGGCGAGAAGGGGTGGAGAGCGCGCAGGTGTCCAAACTCCCCTGGCTACAGACAGGTGCGCAGCATCTGGCTCACAAATGTCTGCAGAGCTGGACGTGCGTCAGCAAACTTTTGGACACTACTGACTACCAGCTGTGCTCCGCAAGGTCTCTCCCTCTCACTTTTGCACACTTGTCACTTGTGCGTCCCAAACACAGCTCTGCTCAAGCTTCGAATAAGATTCACACACTTTTGCCAAAGTACGTACAAAGCGTGAGCAAAGCGTAACGTTATGTATGCGGAACACAAAAAGGCCGCTCAGTTAAATTATCTCAGTCAGTTTTTTTCCCACAACCCCCCAAAAGAAAACTCCAGATAACAAATAATCTCCAAGATTTTTTTCCAAGAAGCTTTAAATAATACAGAAAACATGGATGATTTGTCATGCCTAAAAAGAATGAACAAAAAGCAGAACATTTTGGAATTTGTCTCGTTTAAAGGCAGAGAACCACAGAGAGGTTGGATTCTGCTGGGGATCCAAGTTCAACACAACTCGAGCTTATAAACCGCCAGCTCTTGGAAACACTGTTGGAGTTTCTGGGGATTTGTAACGTTTATGTCTACACTCTGATCACAGTCCACATAAAAGTTTCGGGCGCTTCTTTAAAAGGTGGCAAATTAATATATTTAAAGATTTGAATTAGTTTGAAAAGGCTGTTTGTCTGTTTGCTGAGACCTATGAGACACCAGCTGACTCAACAGGTTGAGGGTCAATTTCAGAATGAGGGGAGTTTAATCAAAAGTCATTGTTCCAAAACAGTGGCCACCTCCTCCTACATGGAGTTCCCCTTTGAGGACTGGGGAGGAGGAAAGGGTAAAGGTGAATCATATGAAGGCTAGAAGAGGAGAACTGGTGGAGTTTAAGCATAGAGGAATACAGTATTGAAGACAAAGGGAAAAGATGGGGAGGAATTGAATCACGGTTATAAATCCCAAGAAGCAAACAGGATATGAGATTACACATTAAAAACATGGAGAAAGTAGAAAAGGGCCCATCTCTGTAATTATCGTGCAAGCCCTCGGTTGAAGTCTGACTATTATTTACAAGTTATCCCTCAAACCACTTTATTATCACTGAGAGACATCAGGAAACTGCTTTGCTGCAGTTAGCGTTCAAAATAAAACAAAACCAGATCTCAAGTACAAGTACACACAAGTATAAACACATCCACAAGCAGAATTTCCTCAACGTCTGGACAGCATTACGTGGTGTGTAGAGGATCCCCCTCCCACACACACCCCACTCTCCTTAATTATAGCCTGCATCATTGGAGACCGAGTGCACTTGAGAATAGGTTTTGTCACTGTATGGTGGCAACACAAACACACACAGCTCTACTCAAACACACTAAGAGAAAGCAGATGTATTAAAACGACTATCTTCAAAATAAAGAAAAGGTTTTTTTTTTTACTAGTTTTTCACTCCACTTTACAGGAAAACACCAAGAGCGGGAAAAGGTTGAGCCAAGAGAGGAAAGGACTCTTTTGTCTAGTGGAATTATTTGATTTTGTATGATGATGATGATGGATAACAAAAGCATACGGTGGGAACCGTAAACAACACGCACCACAAACGATGCTGAGCAGCGGTATCATGTGACGGTGCCGTAAATTCTTTCTGTGAAGCAAAGTGAAGGAGGAAATGTGATGGAAAACCAGAGGCCCAACCAATAAACAGCGTTGGGGTAATGTACTTTAAGGCCGCATCATTTCTTTCTTGATATGAATAATGAGCCTTGCTGCATGTAAACTGTGGCTGAAAAACAACAAAAGCAGCTGACTAACAGAAGTGGTATGGAGAGCTGGGGACTCCCTTCCATTTGGGACATTTGTCCGCACAGGAACGTCTTACCCCTTTTACCTACATGTGCTCCTTTAATCAGAATGAAGCAAGGCCTTGGCTTAATTTGTACAAGACATTTAGACTTTTATGGGATGCCCCACAGATGCAAGAGTTGATATGAAGAATAGACAAATGAATGCGGGCTTCAAACATGAATTGTTCTGCTTCATTTACTACTTGACTTTTAGCACTACCTTTAAGTACAGTAGCTAATCTGGGCTTTTTGTGTTTGAAGAGGATTGTCCACTCTATGACAAACTGAAAATCTGTATTTGTTAGTCAATATACAGAACATGAACAAAGTATTGGTAGAACTGTCAATCTTTTTTCTCCCTTTACTGAAGTTTGGGCTGCTGGTAAAAAAGTTTGTTGTTAGTTTTGTTAGTTCGTTTTCTTTGTTGTTAGACCTAAACACCAGTTGAACCAATGAATATGATCGTAAGATACAAAAAGTATTTGAGACCGATTAATCATGTAATCACACTCGGACATTTTTTAAATCCATTTATTGGCAAAGAAATAAAAATACGAGTATAAAATGTATTTTTTTAAAGCACAGACAATTAAGTATTACCTAAAATGTTTCTTTCTTTTCTGTTTGAACTTGCAAAAGACATTTGCCGTTTTTTATTGGTCATGTTTCGACTCTTCCTTGCTACACCTTTTGTTCAGTCCACTGAAATACTTTTCCCTGAAGGCGTTGTGTCCCTCGTAGGGGCTGAAGCGGGGATCTGACAGGTGAGCCAGCCCGTCCAACTCCTATGCAGAAAATAAAACAGATATAGTTTACGATGCTGGTAATGCTTCACCCGAATAAATGAAAATACATCCCGCTTCCACTCAGACAATTTTTCACACTATTGGGGAAAAAAAGCTTGTTTCTGATAGAGATGGATTTTATTAAAAAGGCGTGAAATGATCACCATGTGAGGTATGCAAACGTCAGAAGGTTTGACTGCTGTTTGCATTGTGAGACCATTACTGGATTTTTAATAAAGAATATAAACTGTTATAAGTTCTTCATAACAACTGTTTGTCTTGGCTGTGAGGTAGCCATCGATCAGTGGAGGTATGAAGGGAGGAAGAGAGATGATGGGAAGAGGAATAATGAGGTGAGCTGAGCTGGAAGTGATGACTCCAATGCTGGGCCTGTAAAGTGTCCGCACCACCTCTCTTTTGCTTGCTGCTGCTGCCAAGCAACCTGGAAACATTTTCCATGATCGTTCTAAGCACAGAACCTCAACCTGACCCTAAATTCATGAATGTACAAAGTTGTTTTATATTACATTAAGTAAATTCTGGTAAATACTTTTAAACTTTTTTAAACAACAGCTAATAGGAACACCCTGTGATGCAATATTTTCATTATGAAGACTCTTGTGGAGAATCAATTTGGAAAAAGCAAACCAGGTGCTCATGCTGTATTAAGGAGCACACTAAATCACACCCCAGTGGAAATCCCAAATATAAGCTAATTGTTTTAAAATGTGCCAACAAGACATTAAAGGAGAGAAGCAGCGTGTTCAGTAGCAGAGATTTACGCCCTTTTGCATTCAAACAAATGAACACCACATGCTTAAGAACAGAACTCCAGAGGCGATAACAGGTCTGCGTGGAAATCAAATGTAACTAATCAAATGTAGCTAAAACATTTTTTTCAAACGAAACAAGCAATAACAAAAAGAAACATTTCATCCATCCATCCATTGTTCACTGCTTATCCGGGGTCGGGTCGTGGCGGCAGCAATTTGGTTCTTTTTAAAAAGCAAATATCTATGACAATGAAGCCAGTTCCATTCTTGTAAAAAGGCAGAGAAAGTGTGGACACACATATACACAACCGCACATCAAAGTCATACCAGCATATTTTAAGACAGAAAAAAAAGAAAAAACATCAAGCGAAGTGAACCTGGATTAAAGAGTCCAGATAGGTGCACATTTAGGCCTATTTGGAAATAAAACTGCAACCTGAGAGAGATACCAATCAGATAAGATCACATAAGAGTGTGTTTGTTTGTGTGCCTGCGTGTGTGTGTGAGTTATACAGGGCCCTTCATGGGAGCAATTTGGGGTTTCGAAGTAGAAAGGATGTCAGATCCAAAGATGGATTGTTTTCCATATGATGTGTGATTAAGCCATTTAGGGTTTCAGCATAAAAAAAGAAAAGAAAAAAGAAATCACAGCCAGATGGTGAAGATTTAAGCCACACAAACAGGCAGACACCAGCACTTCCAGTGGGATGACGAGTAAAACATACACACAAATATGAATCTGTGTGCATCTATAGAGCACTACTCTGAACTTTAAAAAAAAAAAATTAAAAGAAAAAAGGCACAGCCGTGTTTTCAACCCATTCAGCTGTGTTTCTGCTCACGCTCACACACGGCCAGCGTCCTGTAGCATACGGGCTGGTACTGCACAAGCATGTGGTATCTAACAACAACAATTCAATCTAAAGCAATAATATGGATGTGTTTCCACTCAGTAGATGATGAAAACTTGATTGCGTGGTCAAACACACGAATAAACATCAGATGGAGAAGTGTGCTTGAAAATGCTTCCGCACGCTAACCAAATGAATGACAAGCACAATGGAAAAACAGAATGTAATGAAACCATAGAATAACAGAAATAAAGCGTATTTGTGTACTATTGTCATCACTCAAGGCATGTCCTGCATTACTGAAACATTTCCACGAATGTTAGCTTACTGTTCAATCAGTTATGTTTATCCATTTTATCAAGCCGTCAGTCCAACGCAAATGATTTGATAATCAAATGAAAAATAAGACCGGACACTCAGATAAACACACCTCGGGGTCTTTGATCTTCTCCATGGTCATTAAGCGTCGTGAGGTGTGGCTGGACAGCGTCTGCTCACAGTTGCTGATGAGCCGGAGACATGGATGGAGAGGAACCATCTCCTCACAGTACCTGGAAAAGGTCAAAGGCACACATAAAAATGCAGTTTTTGGTCACATTCCAAAAATGAAAAGGACCATAGAACAAACTAGTCCAGCATACTACATTTTCAGTTTCAAAGAGTGAGAGAGAGAAAAAAAAAATGAATGAAAGCAAATGTGAAATTCGGTCATGACAGAAAATACCCTCCAGATTTCATCTGGGGGGCATTAAACGGCTGCCAGGATACAGACACAGGCTAATTCCATCAAAATAACAATCTCACTTTGCCAGCTCCTTTTTTGCAGCCAACTCTGATGTCTTTCTTTTTTCTGTGGAGGTCTCTCTGGCCTTCTCAAATAAACACTAAAACGTTGGAGTAGTGCAGTCGGGCCGTGGCTAGTAAAGCTTAGGTAGCTCCTTTTTTGTGCGAAGGAGAGGGTGGAAAAAGTGAATGTGAGCTGACAGGTTGGCTGCTGGCTCTGTCATCACTAGACAAGCCAGGTTAAGGCCTATTAACAGCCGCTGGTGTGTGTGTTTGCATATTTGAGTCGGTAGCACTTTCGCCAAACCACCGTCAGAGGAGCAACGGCCCAGACTCAAAGGCAGATTTGTGCATCTCTGTTTGTCTTGTTGCCTAGGCAACCTGTGGTTGCCACGGTGACCAGCAGTGAGATAATTCTCTCTTGCCAATCATAACCAGTTACTGAAGAGGGTAAGGTCGAGCTCAGACCCTCCAAGTGTGAAAGGGATGCATTCTTAAGATACATATATTATGTGCAGCTGCTCAAAAGTTCTTGTTTTTATCTGTGATAAGCAGTTTTACTTTGGCCACACTCATTTAAAATTTGGAGGCTATATAAATATACATATATGAGATCTTTTTTTTTCCTTTAAAAAAACCCCCATCTGCTTTAACATGCTATGCTTACAGCTGTCTCACTAATGCTGGGAAGCCGAATTCAATCATTCGGTTTTGTAAGCTGTGGCTTCAAACTTCCACCCCCCCTGTTGTTCTTCGCTCCATCATTTTCAAACACAAACTTAATAACCCCAACAACCTTTATGTATACAAAGGTTTCTGTGAAAAAGAATGCATGCTCTCTGCCAAATTGGATGATTTTATGCACTGGGATATGGTTTGAAAAGAAAAAACTTCAAGACCTGTATTCTGAGGTAAGTTACATATGCAGGATTTCTTTAGGCAATCTGGCTCATTTAACTGCAACAACTGAGATCTCTGTGAGACTTACTACAGCACAGGTTATCAACTCCGTAAGTCAACCCAGATTTTTCCATTCTGAAAATGTTCATGTTCAAGTATCTACTTCTGGCAGGCTGAAAAGCTGCTGCAGAAAGAACAGGAAGAAAGGCAACTTTGTGAGCGTTATAATCTTATCAGTGTCATTACCCCGATATTAAAACACGGTTATCTTGATCTGCCGACGTGCAGCTGAGTATTTTATTATATCAATGTGCCACAGGTGTATTCTTGAAGCATGAGGGAAAGTCTCAGGCTTGTTCTGTCAGATGGAATGTTAGCCGTTCATTGCTCCTTTACCAACTAAAAAACAGGGAAGTGTATAAAGGCAGACAGTGTGGTCAGCCTACTGGAGGGGGTCTGTGTTAAAGGTGTTTTTCTTCATTCAGGGAGTTTACAACCTTTGGAAAGGTTTGAAATGCTGCACATTCCCCTTATAAGAAAACAATAAGCTAATCACTAATAGATTTCAATCAATAAAAATAGTGTTAGTTCCCAATCTATAAACATCCACACAAAGTCATTTGGACTTATCAGACACACATCAGGGTCTAATAGCATAGTGAGTTATTTTAAGTCAAACAAAGATTATTTTTCCCTTTTCTAAGAGGCCTGAAAGCACATGTGTTTCACACAAACTTTGGTTAGGTTGTAAGCATAGGTTGCCATGGTGACACAACCATTTCTGATCCTGAAATCCATCATTAGTGCTAAAGTTACATTACTAAGCCACTGCTTTGTGCAACTGGGCAAAATTCTTAAAATCTGATTAATACAACCACATACGAGCAACATGTCCCATATTACACTGTGTCATGAAGTATACAACAAAAAATAATAGTGAATAATACAGAAGCACTGTGTGGAAACTAATCACACCCCTTAATTTAACAATGTCCAGAACCACCTTAAGCAGCACTACCTTGCAGTACTTGCTTTCTGTATGACATTATCAGTCTCTCGCATCATTGTGGAGGAATTTTGGCCCACTCTCCTTTAAAACATTGCTTCAGTGCAGTAACATTTGTAGGCATTTGCTTATGCATAGCTCTCTTAAAAGGTCCCGCCCCGGCATTCCAAGCAGGTCGACGTCTGGACTTTGGGCGTTTACAACACCTTCATTTTTCTCCTTTTCGGCCACATTGTTGTCTATTTTCAAATGTTCCTGGGATCATTATCCTGTTGGATGAAAATCTAGCCAGGTTTTAGTTCAAGGTCCACATAATGACCACAACATCCAAGAAGCCAAACCCAACAGCACCACTGTGAAAGATGTTTGCCATAAGGTCTCAACGTTTTCAACTCTGGTCTTTTCTGTCCAAAGAACATTGTACTAGAAGTCTTGTGGTTTGCAAAGCTAAGCTGTTTTTTTCAAAGAGGATTTCTCCTTTAACCCCCACAATCAAGTAAGACTTGTTTGTGCTTTGTTCAACTTTACCCGGACTGTGAGATTTAGCATGCTGTCTGCCACCAGGCCTGAAGCCTGGGATGGAGTTTTTGTGTTTTAACCATAGACTGCTCACAGGAAGACTGGCAATTGTCTTCAAGGTTTTCCATTTGGGAATAACATTTCCCGCTGCATGATGGTGGATTTTGAAGTGTTTCTCAAACATCCCTGCTGATGTCTTCCCTCCTTTGCATTATGTTAATGCACATCATAAACTACTAGACACTTTTAGATCATCAGATATCCTATGAAAGCAGTCATTTTGGAGTGTTTATTTTATTTTTTACAAAAACTGCATATTGCTTAGTCTTAAACAAGACAAATGTTTTTGATTATCTTAAATTGCACATACCTAACTTAATCATGTGCTAATGACTGCAGGAGTCATTTGCATGACAAACGTTGAAGGCCACAGAAATTTAAAACGTTTTTGCTCTTTATTCTCCATTCAATTTCTTTTCTTTCTTTTTTTTGCAAATGGTGAAATTTTCCACAGATGTGTTGAATAAGAATTACTGAGTTTTGACCATGCTACTGCCACTAAAATGATGATAAGTTTCAGCAACATCCAGAAGATGTAACACAAGAAAGAAAAACGGAAAAATCACAAAGCATGAACTCTGAATCGGTTTTGCCTTTCTGCTGACAATGGAGCCACTTCATATCATTGCTTCACTTGTTTACGCTGTAATTAGGATATTTTATGGCTGTGATGACTGAGACTGCATCATCTGTCTTGATTGTTTTTCATCCTTCATTTCTTTTTGAAGAGGAAAGGGAAGAAAGTTTAAGCAGTCTGATCCGGTCTAAACAGTCTTTTGCTGACGGGAATTTGGCCTGTCACACACCCACAGAAAAATACCTGTAAATTGTCAATCTATCCATCTACATACATATATATCGATGTGCGTTTGCACGTCCTAAGTTATGTCTAAGAAGCTCCCATGTAGTTTTTATGAAGCATGGAGACACACACAGTCTCTACTGTTCTATCACAGCCACAGATACATACTCACACATGTGGGGGTGCAACAGAAACATGATAGCTCCCCTGTAGAGCCCCAGATTAGACCCAGGAGACAGGCCACGTCTGGGATTACAAACACACACGCACACACACACACGGGTCAGCCTGTGGACCGTAGAGACAGATAATTCATATATCTGACTCGCCTGGCTGGCCTCAAATGTTTATTTTGGCCCAGCTCTCTGACAGGCACAGTGTCGAGCACCGACGGGATGACTAGCAAAGACAAATGTTTTAAAACGATGAAACAAACTTATGGTCGTTCACAAGACCACACACACACACACACACACACACACTATATCTATTGACAAGTACAGAAAGGCAAAGTGAGACAGTCAGTTGGCGTGACTATCCCATCTCAGCCCCAGTCTTGTAATAAGGGGTGAGGAAGGGTTTCGGCCCCGTGGGCTTTTTCTTGCCCCCACACTAGTTGATGTCTGTTGTGGTTCACAGCTTTCCAGTTGCACACCTGCACTATTTGCTTTGTGCTAATGCATGCAACACTCAACAATATAAAACAGGGCTTCAGAGGAGCCGCACAGTCAGCCGTCAGATGTGGTTCACCTCAGCACACCTGTATGCCGCTCTGTTTGAACACCGCCATTCACACCCATGACGCACACTGGAAAGTGCTTATTGGAGCAGGAATATAACAGCACTGAGTTGAAATGTAACATCAAAGCATAAAAAGAGAGGTGGGAAGTGTTTTTGAGGCCCTCATAAGCATGAATGAGGAAGTTTCACGGTTGTTAAAGATCATTTAATTAGTTTAATTACAGTCAGTCATTTGAATTTCATTATTCTGTTAACAAATTATTAATGGATTTAAATGTAGGCAGTGCAATCAGCAGGCTTAATGCAGCTCCGGCTTATGGTGCGAGTCTGCCCCCTACTGTCCCAATTACGATTTGAGGAGAAACGGCATCAGACACAAAACAGCTCTTAATCAGCTAATTTATCTCAGCTCACGAAGGTTAAAGTGCACTCTGGTTTCGCAATATGAATGTCCCTAAAGCTAGGCATGACTCTGAAGGTTCAGCTTCAACAATAATTAGTAACAGATCCAGGGATCAAACACAAATAAGATAAGAATGTAATGATTTGCAAAACTCTAAAGCAGGCCCGTAATTGATAACAGAAAACATATCAAATGTTGAAAATTTGACTTTTTTCCGTGGAAAACATTGCCTCATCTTGGATTTGACAGCAGCAGCATGGCTCAAAAAGAGTTGTGATAGGCAGCAAACAAAAAAAAAAAAATGTTTCAGCTAAAAACACTCGTTAGAAGAGAATCTGTAATGTGGCTGGAGGCATAAAGAGCATCCCACACAGGCAGTTTATTGGAATCAAAGACGTGGAGATATTTGGCTACCCACACAAATTATGAAAAAAACAAAGATTTCACAACTTCAGAAAACCTTCCTCAAAAAATTACAATCTTTGCATATTGGATCATCTGCTATGCATACATGACTCAGAGAATTTGGAGACTGAGGCTGAGGATTAGTATTGAATTCTTTTGTTATTTGTAATTTCCTCCAAGTAGTATTTTTTTTTTAAATTGGGGATGTACTTTATGAAGTAACTGAAAGACCTTTTAAAAACAAAGCCGACATCTGATCAAAAGCTGAAAATTAGAAAACTGCTGCCATCAACTAGCATGCACAGGTTATGTGTCCCAAAGGAAAGTAGTTACAAGACCTCAACTTTCACATAAGGTGAAAACAAGTTTTTTTTTCAAGTATTGATCTGTTGCAGATAAGACAGGTAACTTTACCTGTCCTTAAATATGCAATAAAGTGGGTGTCAATATCTGATCTGCTCCTTCCAACCACATGTCCATCACTACACTGCTCCAACTCACAGAAATATTAGCACAACGCTGCATAACTGTTAGTTTGATGAGAATTCTTATGGCAAATTCAAAAACTGAAAAAAAAAAAAACTGAAGATTGTAACAACTTTTTTCAACAGCAGAGACTGTGTGAAAACAGTGTGTGCTACTCACTCTGGCCTGTAGACTGGCAGCCAGTAGACCAGCCTTCCACCAATGACGAGGTGGCGGGCAGAGAAGTTTAACAGATCGGTAAAGATGTCGCTCAGGTGGTAGGCCTGCGACACGGGCACGTGAGACTCTGCATAGCTGGACAAAAGATTAAAACAAAGTACAGTACAGTATCTGTTGAGAACAAAGCTGATATTAGAGGAATATGAAAGTGGAAATTATTTTCTGAAGAGGTCCATCATTTGTAGAGTTAAGAAGTAGCATTAAAAAAAAAGGAAAAAGTGAGGTTTTGCTTTAGGTAAATGCAAGAGTTTCTGTACCATCTTCAGAGCAAAAGCCAGTTCAGGCTTGTTGATATCAGAGATACGGGTCGAGATGGGAATGCAGCAGTTTGTGGAGTATCAAGTGAACTTACATGCCGTCTGCGGCCTTAGCAATGTCCTTGTGAGACCCCGTTCTTCTTGTGGACTCTCGAATACCATATGGCGCTAACAACACAAGCAAATAAAAAATAAAGGGAAAAAAATAGACATCTGTGAATTTTTGCGACAGTCAGAAACATGGGAGAGACCCTCAAGGACCAGAGGTGAACACCCTTGGTCTAGCCTGTGAAATAGGAGGGTAAGAAGAACCATCGGTCACACTTATCGGTTTGTTACGAACACACTAAGGACCTACGGTCAGTTATGATGGCGTCAAACAGAGCAGCATTCCTCCACACAGGCTTGGATGCGTCAGACACCATCACATCCACGTACATATTCTCTGCTCCGTACTGCCGAAGATTAGCTCTGATGTTCTCATCGGGTCCTCGCCACTTTTGGTTCTTTCGGCTGGACCGGCCTGCAAAACGAAGTCACGGCCGGTAAAACCTACTCCTGTTTTGTCTTAAGCATAGCAATTACACGCTTGGATTCATATCTGTGTGACCACAGTCGGTGCCCATTAACCCACCTTTGCCATGAATAGTGTTGTAATCGATATCTGTTCCACAAACATAGGCGCCGTAATGAGAACAAGCTACCAGCAGGCTCCCTTGAGGAGATCAAGAAAAAGAAGAGGAAGTTTTCGCTGAGTGACCGCGTGGCTGTCGGTAGCTGCGTTTAGGTCCGAGAAGCTGAGGCTACATGAACTTACCCGTGCCAACAAATGGGTCAAACACGAGGTCGTTTTCTTTGACTTTAGCTTGGTTGGCCATGATGAGGGAGAGGCCAGCGTCCATGCTGGTGTTTCCTATGAAATGTCTGTTCTTCACACTGTGAGAGCGAATCAGTTCCCGCTGACCGTCTGCAATCTGACGTGGAAGGACAACAAGTGCTGAGCTGCAGATGCCCCCTCCCCTCATCACTGGCATCCAAACAAACAAGCAATCGCGCCGGCTCACCCATCTGCCAAAATAGATGTAATCGGGATGCTCTGGGATGTTGTTGGGATCGGTGCCGTAATCCTCCAGCAAGCAGAAGATGTGCTGAGGACTCTTCAGGCACACTGTGCCCTCGAAAGGAAGATATTCCAAAGCCTGGAGAAAGAGAACAACATCCAGCAAACCTCCCACCAACAAAGGAGATCAGAGGAGCACAATAATGCTGATTGGACTGTCAGCAACCACTCACATCTATCCTCTTGATTCTGTCCGCAAACAGCAAAGTTTTGTTGAAAGTGTAAACGTTAATTCTGTATGTGGAGTCTCTCTGCACAAACGGGCTCTGAGGAAAAGAGAGAGAAACAACCATTAGTAAAGATCCCGCGTGTGTTTCAAATGCCCACAACAGCACTGTGGACTGTAGCGTCACAAACCATTTTCTCCCATGGGTAGTTTAACAGGGATGTTCTGAGTTCACCGTGCGTTTGTCCATGACCCCACAGTTCAAAAGCAGACCTGAAAGCACAACAAAGCATGAGCTCGTGTTACTTTGTGGAATCAAAGCTCTCAGATTAAACTGCAGTGTGTTGTGTTAAGAACTGAAATGTAAAACACTTACTTTGCACACACAGATCTGGCCATGACACTGCGAACATCCTCCTCAGACAAACCATCCAGGCACCAAAAGGGAGACTGAATGGAGATGAGAATAGCAGCAGTGACTGGGGGGACAACAGGCTGATCTATTCTCTCTAATAAGAAACTAAATATAAAACCAAAAGGGAACAATGATGTGGTGGCATCCCTACCAGTTCTTTGAAGTTTCCAGAGGGGTGGAATGGTTTCCCTCTGAGAGCCAGCAGAGCCTTTATTTCCTGAAATAGACGCAACAGAAGAAAACGGGGTAATAAATCGTGCACGCGTGAAGGAGGAGGAATGAACTTGTCATAGTCATAGTGTTGTTACGCCGTAAAAAAAAAAAAGATTTTCTACAGTTTTGAGTCAGAAAAAAGCTCAAAAAGCAACCTGCAAAGACAAGGCAGCTATAAAAAGATCAACATTTACACTGACAGCCACACGGACAGATTTCCATCATTACCGGTAACCTGAAGTCCAGGTTGTCTTGGGCAAGGTGCAGTAAATATTGGAGGCATGATCTGGAGCTGGTAGTGGCCATCTCTTTAGCGCGTTCATAAAACTTCCGGGTGAAGACTGCGCGGAGAAGCAAAGTTCCGCACGGTGACGACTTTAGCATGGATGGCTTAAGAATGTGAGATTTATTCCAGAGTTAACTATCGACTGACGTAACTGTCAAAATGTCTGAGTTGTGTCCGCGATATAATACATTGATTAATTCGGCGAAAGTGCAAATATCACAATTCTCCGTTGTCATTTTATGGGCAACATTGCCAATGTTAGCTTCTTTTAAAACAACTGTTTTATAAAACTTTATACAAAAGTGTGTCTCCTTTGTTATCACCATGAGCAATAACAGACATGCGTGTGTGGATAAATTCCTCTCCCTGAAAGCAGTATAATCTGCTTTATCTCAGAGACACCACAGGGACACCTTCACGGCCGCTCCACCCATCGGTGATTGGCTGGCTGGCTCGATTCCTTCACGTCATTGGCTTAAACAGATGTCCATCAGGGTAATTTTGCCAAACGGCATCTGCACTTTCTCTTGCTGCTGTCAGCAAGGCTGGAGAGTGGAGAAATGACAGTAAATGTTACTGTTTAACCAGGAATTGATGAACATTAGAACTTTAATAGAACCACCGCTGGTGAGGATCAAATCAATCGAATGTAAGATGGATTATTTCGTTGTTTGAAATTACTTTGCATGGTACGATTGCACACTTGTTCTATTGTACTAAACAGATTGATACTTAAATAACGTTTTCCTTCGTTTAAATGAAATGTCAGTTGTATTTGGTTCGGTTTTTCACTGTCACTGATAAACCTCAACCATATACGGGCATAGATTCATTGTTCATTTGCATGAAAAGCAAAGATTTATTTGAAAATATTGAGAATTGAAAATAATTAACTTCAAGAAATATTCAACATAAACAAACTAAAGTTTCAATTATGCTCTTGTGCACAGAAATGATTTGGGTGAATGATGGGGACCAGCAGCCAGAGCACATCTGCCATTGACACGGGGGATGTCCACACGCCTGCCCAGTGTGACCATGACACCGCAGTGTGTATTGTCTCTGTGAAAGGCCTGAAAGAGAACTGGCAGAAGTGGTCCAGTGAGCAGCAGCAGTACCAGAAGCACAACCCCTTCAGTAACGACACCAGGCCGACTGCAGCGATCCCTCAGCGGGGGCAGGAGGATTATGGAAGACCCCCGCTGGGGTCCATGACAGAGCAACGTGGGAAGGATGCTCACTCACACATCAGTAGAGAAGTCCAGGAGCTGTGTGAGGTGATCAGGAACATCGGAGCGCTGCGGCGGAGGGACGATGATGATGGGGACGGCAGCGACGGGAAAGTGATCTCTGTCGAATTTGGGAAGCTCTTTGAACACTATGTGACGATCTCTAATAAACTGGTGGGAATTCTTCTACGGGCAAGGAAACAGAGGCTGGTTGACTTTGAGGGAGAGATGCTGTGGCAGGGGAGGGATGATCAAGTAGTTATCACCCTGCTGCAGTGACCAGAAACTTTCACATAGAGTTGTTGCCTTGATATATGCTGCATGCTATATGCACACAGCTACCTCACAGCAGCATTGTGTTGTAGAAATCGCACAAATACCACACTAAATGTTTGAATTTGCTTCATGATAGAATCTTTCCTTATCTGCCTCCCACATAGAAGCTCCTGGTTCTAAATAGATGAGCCCTAATATAAAACATCGAGGTTTAAATGCTTAAAATAAAGATATAGATATATGCTACTTAAGTCAGATACAACATACATATATCATGTTTGAATACAAGATGTAACACCTGGCACTATACGTCATCAATGCTGGAACCTGCATTGTTGAGCCAAGTCTAAGTAACGCTTACTACAAAGGCCACAAAACAAATCCCATTGCAGTATTTCCTCCCTCAGCTTTTTAAGGATGGTTGAAGCGGAAGAGTGAACAGCAGACATGAAGTCAGAGGGGACTGATGATGCCGAACAAACGTGGAATAGAACACGAGGCTGCCCGTGACAGACAATATGCTGCTATATGGTGAACCTGATCCCACTCAACTTGGTGCTTCAGAGAGTGTATTTATTACAAGCGTGCTTTGGACTCAGGTATTTGTTAGTTTGAGGTTAGTTAAACCACACAGAGGCAGAATTTTTAAAATCTAAAAAAACCTTTGCATTGATGAAGTTCAATTATTAAATAAATACATGCCACAATACAAAGCACTTCTTGCCTTTGCATTGACACCTGAAGGTATTAAAAAAAAAAAAAAGGTGTGTTAGCTCCCGTATTGCAAACACTGCTTAGTGTAATGAGGGTATGTACTAAGGCTCAGATTAGATAACACAGAGACACAAAAAAGTGTTGAAATGTTGTATTATTTATTTTTAAATTACAGAGATGTGCAGATATTTTATATATTAAATAATGTGTTTAGTTTTAAATCTGGTTCACATATGATAATACAGTATGGCAAAAGTAAAACTCATAAACTGTGTATAAAAGATGGACGCAGACAAGCCAAAACAAATGTGCAGGTGCTTTCAACTGTTTTCTATTTATGTCAGCAGGGGTCAGTAAAAGGGAAAAAACACAGTTTTTCATTACACCTTTTCTCTAAGTCACCAGCAAACTCAAAAGGTAAGAGAAATCCATAAAGACTTGGAGAGGGAGCGTGGTTGTGAAACAGTACACTTTCAAGGTAAATAAAGAAAAGTAAAGACAGGGACCTTTGTCTGCCAGAAAGGGTTATTTGATTCACTTCAAATCTGTGAGAAAACTACTTCCTACGGGAACATTCCTTTCACAGGTTCATGGTCTCCAGCTGTTTGTCTCTTTATTTCTTGAATTTAATATCAGGTTCATTTAGGAAAATTGGTCCTAGAGTACATTAGATAATTAAACACTGTTGCACAAGTAGCCACAGTGATTAAACTGATACTGCTGGTCAAGTCCTTTGCTTTTGCATTGTGTCTGCAACACAAGCAATAAAAACCCCTTAAGGTTTCAGAGTGGTAACAGAACAACCTCCCAGTGATCTCAAAATGTCTACGGCCATCTTTTTATACAGTCTATGAGCACAACTTAGTCAAAACATGCTGCAAATGGCATTTACACAATGACAGATCCACATAGATTGGAAAAAAAAGAAAGTGGTACATTCAGTGCTTGTTGAGCTCCAGTTGCTATGAAACTTGTGCTAAAATAGATCACTGCTTCATGCTTTGATCCTCCGCAACCAGGCAGCAAAAATTAAGACGGCTAAAACATTCAACGTATCGAATCAATCATACAAACCAAGTACTTCTGATTTCACTTGCATAAACGAGCTCTGTGAAGCATGGAAGCATCGTGCAGCTTAGGAGATCAAGCTGAAAATGAGCTGCATCTGTGTTTCTGGCTCTGAATTGATGTCAATGAACATGACACACTCTTTCTATAAAGCTATAATTTCAATGCCCGCACCTTTCAGTTTAGCAGAATTTAGGAATGAGAATAACCTCAACTGCTCTCTTTCAACGCTCCTTGGTCCATGAAGATAGATGTTTTATGGTCTAAGTCTAAAATACTTTCAGGGCATTTTTGGGACGTGTTACAAGCAGCACAAGAGGTAAAACATTTTTTACAAATATTTTTGTTTGATAAAACGTTCCCTTGATTTCAAGTCGCAAATGTTCTAATATTTCCTTATTAAAACAAAGATATCAAGTCGTCGTAAGTAGTAGTATAGAAACAATATCTGTAGCATCCAACAAGGCATCTGCAGGGTTTGTAAGTACCTCATTATAGTCCAGCGTTCACAGAAATAAATCACAGGTTCCAAGTGGTCAGTTTGTGTCTTCTTTAGAGTTTAGCAGCTCTATCAGCTGGTCTGCCTGTAAAACATCAATAAATACACAGGAGAGATATTAGACTGACACTGCTGTGGATATATTGGACTTCATCATTAATATGCAGTCTTCACAACAGATAACAAATAATTAAATATTCCCCTCTCATTAATGAAAAAATAATCCATTATTCTAATTCAATTTTAATGACTTTTGAATAGTTTAGAGCTACAAATATCAGCAACAACCTGAATCACAGCTCCTCAGAGTAACCTTTCAGGATCTCTGGTTAACAGAGTATGGATGTTTTCCTTTAGGAATCTCTAAATGACACACAGTGACGCTTTGAATGGTGAGGCAAATCGCTTACAGTGACAAACCAATATGAGTTGAGTCTGTAGAAGAGGCGGGACATGAAGCTCATCTCACTGGCGGGGGCTAGTACGTGAAGGTGTAGGTGTGTGACAGAACAAAAAGGGGGCCAGTGGAAGCCAAACCTGCCGACAAAAAGAAAAGGCTTTGACTCTCAGAAGCAGATTGAAATCACTACATCGCCAGTGCAAATGGTCACCGCTGCTCTGGCACTGAAGGTGACTCATTAGAAAGTGTTCAAGGGGGTCACAATGAATTGCAGCTGACAGCCAAAAAAAACAGCTAAATATAGCCCACCTGACATCAGCCAGATCGGTTACATTGTTTTTTTGCAGGATCTCCTTTCCTATGTCCACCATCTGCTTCACTAAAAAAGACAGCAAAAGGATTTGATGAGTTTCAATGTGTCCCCTTACAAATATCTCCAAATGTTCCACTGATCTATTATCAAAATAAACACATTTAATCTTTAACAACACTGACTGACCTGAGATGTATTGTCTAGCTGCATTTACAGACAGGAATAGAAAACCCTTTAAAAGCTCTGGAACCTTACCCAAAGGCACATGATCTCTCTTGAGGGATTTACAGTTCCCAACATGTTTTGTTGGGACAACGAGGTAATGATGTGGAGCTCCTGGTTTAATATCTCTGAAACACGAGATCTCTTCATCCTGCAAGAGCAGATAACCCACATGTTGGTTCTTTGCGTCTGTCATAGATGCTCTCATGTTATCCTCATATCGATATTTCTCCATTTTTGTTTACGTCTACGTAGAAAATGAGACCCACTTTACACCACACCTTCACAAATTGTGTTCCGACAAAAGCTAGTGAGCTGTTTCGAATGTTAAAGCTGAAGGAAAGTTTAAACATTAGCTACACTTTCACAAATAGTGTCCCAATCAGAGCTGGGGACAGACACAGGCTAGCGCTAGCTAGTTTGGAGTTCAAAATGGCTCACCCACCATGCATACTCACGCTGTGAAGCAGCTCTGTGCCCATTTCATTATTCACAATCTTGCAGAAAATACATTTCTTGTCGTATCCCTCTGCTGGCATTCGGCTGGTTTTGGACATTTCGACCCGGGGCTCCAGGGCAGGCTCCGTAGCCTGGACTCCGGCCATGGCTGAGCAGAAAACAGTCCAAATTCAGACCGCCACAGTCGATCGCAGATGTCGTCGAGCTGAATCGAAAAATCGTCGATCGATGATAAAAGCGTTCGCAGGGCCATGTGCTGCCATAAAGCCGTTTGATTTGGAACCGTCCGTACAGCAGCACCGGACTTTGATGAATGTTTAGGACATCTTTGCCTTTTCAGATGTGTCATTTGTTTGTGGAATAAATTAACTATCTGCCAAATCAGAATGAAAAGTATGAACTAATCGATAGAGGATTCAGCATGCTGTCACTTCACATGTGGGTTAATGACTATGTGAATCAATAAAACTAAATGTTAAAAAAAAGGTCTTTGTGATCATAAAAAAGGACATTGTGAGAAAAAGGGAACTTTATATTAAAGTTTAAATTATAATGTGAACAAAATTTGCAAAGGTCATTAACTGCCACCGCATTTTGAAGGTCAAAATGAAAATTGATGTGGTGCTATCTTTAAATGTTAAGTAATTTATCTAAGTAAATCAGCCTTTACTGTCACTTTTCTGTTAAACTCAACCCATCACCCTGTTCATTATTGTCAGACAGAAAGTTTGGTTATCCAGTAAGTAAAGTTGTGATAAAGCATGAGATTAATCATTGTTTAAAAGAAATATTTCTAACAGTGGATGCCTTATGCTGCCACCTTTATCAACAACCTCCTAATTATGATGCATAAAGCTGGGATTAACTTCAGCCTGATAAGCAAGGCCTACAGAAAATGAATGGATGAATGGATGAACAGATATTTCCCCAGCAAACACTGGGTGTTTCTTCAACCAATCCCAGAGAAATGCTTCACATGTAGATAGCTTTTAAAGATGAAAAAAAAAAATTGACCATGCAACTCGGTTTGAACAAGAAAAACTAGGGTTTATTAATAAGGTCCCACAGACAGACGAGTTGGCCTACAGGCTCATTTTTACACAAAAAACACGTACAAGCAAACCGGACACACTAATGCAAATTTCCTTTGTTTTCTTGCTCCTGTTTTTGTAAAAAAATAGAGTTTTAGAAAAATATAAAATATGAAAAAACGTTTTTAAAATAATTTAAGTTTTTTCTGAATGTACTCTAAAATGGTACGAAGGTGTCACATTTACAAAAGCAGAAGTGACAGTTAACCGTTGAGTTTTGTTCCTCCAACATCACACACTGCTGCTGTTATCAAATGGAGTTAGTCAGTTAGTCGTGCTTTAAGGCCGATCATGTTACAGTGTCTTGACTATGAAAGAATTAATCTAAGCGAGGGAAAAAATTACACTGAGAAGTAGAAGTAACATTTTTATAACCATCAGAAATGTTGTAAGAATAAAACCAAGTAAAGAAATGTTGTATGTTTATATATCATATGTGTGTCTGGAAACATGCCCTGTTGTTCAAGACTAAATAATGGGTTCTAAAAATAAATGTTCAGTTCCTGAGTGTGCTTACAATGGCTACTAACTCTTCATCCCACATATTTTTGGGTGAACT